TTTAGTTTTCAAGAATTGAAAATAAAAAATCAAATACCGTTTTGATTTATTAAATGATTAATAGAAAATACAAAGGAAAATTCATTTGGTTAAACTTGACATTTTCTTCTGCTTGTACAAGTGTGGGTGAAAATCCAGATCTTTGTGCATCACTTAAATGCTATAGCAAGCTGAAGAAGTACTTGGCCCTTATAATCATCTCCTGTATAATAGCTGTGCTCCTCCCTATCTTAATGGTTGCTTTGGTAATATACAAAAGGAGAAAACGAAGAGGTAAATCTCTCATTTCTTTAGCTTCTATAACTTATTTATGAGACAATGTAACTGAGGCAAACAGGGTAAAGAGTTCCCTGAGTGATGATTGACGCCATAGGTGTAAATGTACCAAAATCTGTTTATTTTTTCCTTGGTGCAGAGAATCTCAAAAGATCGATTGAAGAACGGTTACTTAAATCGAAGAACCGCCAAGTTAGGTACTCGGAGATACTTATTATCTCAGATAACTTGAAAACAACTATTGGAGAAGGAGGATTTGGAAAAGTGTACTATGGTGCATTAAGTGATAAAACCCAAGTTGCTATCAAGCTTCTGTCTGCATCTTCAAAACAAGGCCCCAATGAATTCAAAGCAGAGGTTCGTCCAGTTTTTCTATGGTTCAAATTTGCTTGCAGCCTTGTCGTTAGTGAACTCATCTCTTATGTATTTTGCAAATGTAGGCTCAAATATTAGCCGTTGTTCATCATAGAAATCTGGTTTCTCTCATTGGTTACTGTGATGAGGCTGAGCATAAGGCGCTCGTTTACGAATTCATGTCTAATGGAAATCTACGCAAGCATCTATCCGGTAATTATAATATTATCATACAAAGGATATCGATCTAAAATGTATGTATCCTATATATGATGATTTTCCCCCCTTTTACTGAGACAGATCCAAACACAAAGGTCTTGAGTTGGATGGAAAGACTCCAAATTGCAGTTGATGCAGCCCAAGGTATATACAATCAACACAAAAACTTATCAGTTCATTCTTCTAGATTGTGACATCTAGTAAACAAACTGCAGGGTTGGAATATTTACACAATGGTTGCAAGCCACCTATAATTCACAGAGATATGAAAACTTCAAATATCTTATTGAATGAAAGAATGCAAGCAAAAATATCAGATTTTGGACTCTCCAGGGTATTTGCAAATGAGAGTGATACTCATTTGTCCACATGTCCTGCTGGCACTTTCGGATATGTCGACCCTACGTAAGTATCAACAGTCAATGCATTGGTTCTTTTTCCTAGACTAAAATGAGTATTCTGATAGTTAGCGGTGGTAGGAATCACGAACCTCCACAATGGCATGATATTGTCCACTTTGAGCATAAGCTCTCGTGGCTTTACTTTTGGTTTTCCCAAAAGACCTCATACCAAGGAGATATATTTCCTTACTTATAAACCCATGATCAATCCCTTAATTAGCCGATGTGGACTCCTCTCCCAACAATCCTCAATAACACTCCCTCGAACAAAGTACACCATAGAGCCTCCCCTGAGATCTATGGAGCCCTCGAACAGCCTCCCCTTAATTGAGGTTCGACTCCTTCTCTGGAGACCTTGTATAAAGTACACCCTTTGTTCCACACTTGAGTCACTTTTGACTACACCTACCTTCGAGGCTCACAACTTCTTTTGTTCGACACTTGAGGATTCTATTGACATGACTAAGTTAAGGGCATGACTCTGATACTATGTTAAGAAGCATGAACCTCCACAATGGTATGATTGGTTTTCTTAAAAGGCCTCATACCAATAGAGATGTATTTCTTTACTTATAAACCCATGATCAATCCCTTAATTAGCCGACGTGAGACTTCTCTCTCAACAACCCTCAACAAGTGGTCCTCATCAGCAACCACGTATATTATAGAACACATTTAGTACTTAAACTATAAGATAGTTATATCTATTTAGTTTCTAAACTCGACATAATAGATATTCCCGCTATTCAAGTAAATTTTTGTTGTGTCCAATCTGATAAGAATTGAAACATATAAATCCATTGCAGGATTCATTTATCTGGAAACTTCACCAAGAAAAGTGACGTTTACAGTTTCGGAATCATCCTGTTTGAGTTGGTGACCGGGCGACCTGCCATAATCAAGGGCTCCGAGTACAACATCCACATTGTGGACTGGGCTAAGCCTTTCATTGAAGAAGGCAATATCCAAGACATTATTGATCCAAGGTTAGGAGGGTCCACAGAAAGTTGTTCCGTTGGAAAATTTGTGGAGTTGGCTCTGTCGTGCACATGGTCAACTCCGGCTGAAAGGCCAGACATGAATCATGTGGTGTCACAGCTCATTGAATGTTTGAAGATGGTTCAGGATGCCATGCCACAAATGCCACAGATGCCACCGAAAAACATCGAGGACTTCTCGTATAATTCAATTGGCTCTGAATCATTGTTCAGTCCTAGATAAAAATTAAACCATTCATTAGAAGTTTCGTTTCTATTTTGTTCCGAAACTTTTAGAATTGTCTAATAGATCTCTGTACTTTCGTTCCATAGGTCTATAAACTTTCAACTTTCTGTGTAGTAGTTGTTAATAAATTCAAAATTTGTAAAAATTAATTAATTTATTAAGTATATTTTTAATTTTATGTAATGGGAATCTTAAACTTTTTAATTTTGTGTTGATTAGATATACGAATTAAAGAAAAGAAAAAAAAAAAAACTAAAGTCGACTGAACAATGCAATCACTCTAAGCGGACAATTTCTGCTAGCGGTAGACTTGTATTGTTACATGATTGTCCATTCAAACATATCTACATTGTGACGTTTCATATTTATGGTTTTTTTTTTAATTTTAAAAAATAAACTAAAAACAAACTATACCCTAAAAATGAAAGTCTTGTTTCGGTTTCCTTCTTTCACTATCTTTGTCTTTACATCCTTGAGGGAACATTTTTCGATAATCGACGTCATTTGCACATCATTAGTTGTAGGAACATCGCACATCTCGTCACCGTTCGTTGAATCGACTCTGCATCTCGTCATTTTATGTAGAGATAACTTCTCATTTACTTTAGTCGCGTACAATATTTTTACAACTTTACTTGATGTTTTAGTTCATAGTCACCCGACCCGACCCTACTTAACAGACGAACACCTCTAATCTTTTAGTCAAGATTAGTAGGGTTTAAGGACCTAAAACCCTAATTAGTGGGCCTTCACATGGGTTGGATTGAAGTGGATAATGGGGCCGATGTGCCGCACCTCTCAACTCTTCGCTTCCTCTTCCTCTCTTCTTTCCCCGCTCGCTCTCCTTCAAACTTCCCCGCCTTTCCTTTCCCAAATCCCCTTAATCTCGACCCACTAGCATATCGCCGGCGACGGTCAATCGAGCTACTTTGTTACTTGGCGGTCTGTATGATACGAATGAAAATTTCTATATCGGAGCTGTCAGGAATTTCCACAATGAGTTCAGGTACTCTCTACGAATCCCGATGGCGACAGAGAGAGCATGATTTTTTTCCCTTTTTTTGTGGTTGAATTTATGTTAATTTCGAGGAGGGGAGGATTCGAATGGTTAAGTTAAGATGTCGATTGTTCCTGTTAAATTCGTAAGGCTCGGGTTAGTAACCGATTGTTCTAGGAGCTTGTGTTTTAGCCTTGTTCGGACCTCTAACTCATTTGGAAAATGAAAAGAGTTGGAGATAGCTGCGTATGCTTGCAGAATTTCACCTCTAAATAAGGAGTTTCTATCAATTGATTGAATCCTATGAATGGTTTTTTGAGCAATTTGTGTGTAGGGGAGCTACATTATGCTGTTGCATCCTTTTGATTCCTGTGTTCTAGCTATCAGATGGTTGGAACTTTGAACATTAAAACTTCGAAGTTAGATGAGTTGATTGTGGTGTTTGAATTTCGTTTGTTGTACATTTCTGTTAGTAGACATATTCTTCAATGTAGAATGACTTGAACTACTTAATGACTATAGAGAATGAATTGAAAGAGAAGATGCATGTTCTTTCGCATACCACCAATCCTGCAGAAAGTTGTCAGTTGCTTAAACATGTTCACCAGATTTTTAAGATACACATAAATGACTGATATCATTCTTAATAGGGCTCTGAATAATACTGATTTAGTTCTTTTTTCTTAGTATAGCATTGCATCTCATGCAATGATGGCCATCATTTGTATCTAACATCTTATTGCAAGTTTTCTGATCTGTGAAAGAACAAAGAGCTGTTTAAAATTGATTCTTACATGCACATCACGTTTAGCTTTGTGAGTGATATGCATATTACTTGGAATTAGTGAAGTCAGAAAAACTAGTTTGCTTATCTTTTCCACATTCTTTCTTCTTTGAGTTTCAGTGGATATAATGGAGGTCTAAGATGATAGACAATTGATATGGTAGATGTTGAACTGAATTGTAAGACAATCAATCAGAATGTGCTTTGGAATGGATTGTAACACAACCATGAACTTATTAGACATAAATATGTTCAACTACTAAACTTATAGTTTAACAACCTGTTTCAAATGACTATCACTTTTCAAGGCTCCACATCATGGCTATTCTTTTGTATGAACTATGTTTATAGATTATTTGCGCATTTCCCTTCACATGAAAATGGTTTGATGTGTAGTCTCTTCGTCCTCCAATATTGTTTGGCCATTTCCCATTCTTTTGTATGAACTATAATGTTCTTTGCTCGGCTACAAATCGCCAGAGGAAAGAAGACACTATTGTTAGGCAAGTCCTCCTCCTCACTATTGTTAGGCGAATTTTACAGTATTATCGTTGATTTTGATTTTGGTTAGGAAATTAGTCATTATGTTTTTGAAAATTCTCTAGCCTGTCGTTTACAAGGGATAAACGGTGTGTTTAAGATGTATGACTCTTAATACATTTTAATGAAATGAGTTTCGGTATGCTTTCAATTTCAAGTTTTCTGAAAATCAGTATGTTGCCATCTCCATCTTTGTTCTTCTCAGGACGTGTGTAGTGTAGCATCGTGCTAGGGAGCACTCTTGTTTGTTTCAGCCATAATTTGAGCAAGTCATCAAGAAGGTTTAAGGAATTCCAGGTATTGAATCATACTGACCTTCTCCATTAAATGATGAAAACAACTCTGTCTATTATTTAGATGTAAGATAATAGACATTTGAGATTAGACTTCCTTTTTGTATTGTCCCTTGAGTAATTTACTCATTTGTTCTACACTCAGGGGATGGCATTTAGAGGGCGAGGACGAGGACGAGGTGGTGGTGGGTCCTTTCAGTATGCCAAGCAAGAACCCTTCGAGCTTTTCCCAGAGGTGGGTAGTTCTGTTAGCTAGAAAAGTCCTAACTTCCACTTAGTTTGCAATGGCGGACTGGTGGTATATGCCAACAATCTTCACTGATGCTTGACTGAGTTCAAATTAGCACATTGTAAATAATACATGCATTATTTCACTTATATTTGCCGAATCTTGAGTGACTGTGGCGCTAACATTCGAGGCATGAACCTTAGATAGTTTGAAAGATGAATCAAAGGCTGTTAGCTATTGATGAAATCTGTAGTACATTATTTTTGTACTTATTGGTATCCTTTTTTCCCTCTCTTTGAACTTGTACTTCTTTTGTGGTTAACTTTGACCCTAAATGTATGGTTGCTTCTTTCTCCTTGTAAGATATTTCCGGAACAAATGACCAAATATAATTTGAAGTTTTGAACCTATGACCTTTAAGGTATTTGAGTTGGCAGCTTGTCCCTCAAAGGTTTTTGTTCTCACATGGATAAGTAGGATGGTTTTTTCCACAAAAAAAAAAAAAAAAAAAAAAAAAAAAGAAAAAGAAAAAGGAAAATCGACTTTGGTTTTTCTCATTTTTATATAAGCATATATTTGCAGGTCTTTTCTTTCATGCACTTAGCTATCACGTCATCGGTGCTAAGTATCGTAGATTATTGGTTATCTTATATTCTTATATCCATCTCTCAATTTATGAAGTTTTTATGTCTCTAGCATCTCTTTTTTACTTCTAACGTGAATTGTTAGTTCGAAGATAATATGCATCAAATTGTAGAAACATATACCTTTAGGCTTACCTGTATTTCCTTTCCTAAGGAGATGTTTTCTGGCACAATTGCAGAATGTAACTCTACCCAACGTCAGTGATATACCTGAAGCAAAAGGCTTGGTTATTTGTAACTCTAGGTTGCTGAACTATTGGAAGGCCTCTCCTTTTTATCTAGAGGAAAATGTCATGAAAAGTTGGTGTTCCTTACTTTGTTCTCTTTTGGAAAGCGTTTTTATTGCCTTTCTGTCTTCAACATTTTGTTGCAAAAAAAAATTGGTAATTCTGTACACTGCTTGTATTATTGTATCAGAGATGCAAAAAACTGAGATCGAGAGATTTTCCGATAGAACCAAGTCAAATAGTACGTTGAAGCGCGATTCCCTTGCACAAATTCTACAGCTCACTTCGAGGAACTTTCCTGAAGAACTGGTTGAAGGTTTGCAATCTAAGATCTCTCAGAGATGGATGAGAGTTATACTAAGATCATCTGTTTATTTACTACTGCAATCCTTTCTTTATGGGGCCACTCCATGATTGTAGATACTCACTCTACTGTTAAATTTTCAGGTTTCAAAGGGAAGTTGCGGAGCAAACGAAAAGTTCAATGGAATCCCGAGTCAGGTTCGTTGGGATGATACGAATTTCTCCCTCTCGACCAATTCTATGCCGATGCTATTTCTGTTAGTCACCTGCTGATGGATCCTTGTTGGTGGTATGTGTTCTAACAGGACTTACAAAACTGGACTTCCTTGAGAAGCGTGAAGAATCTCTCAAGGTAAGACATTTTCCCCTCAATCTCTCGTTCCGTTGCAATTTATGATTTAGACCCAGGCCACCGCTAGCAAATATTGTCCTCTTTAGGCTTTCTTTTTCGAGCTTCCCCTCAAAGTTTTTAAGACGCGTTTGTTAGAGAAAGGTTTCTACACTCTTGGATGTTTCGTTCTCCTCCCCAACCAATGTGAGATCTCACAATCCACCCCCCTTCAGGGCCCAGCTTCTTCGCTGACTCTCATTCCTTTCTCCAATCGATGTGGGACCCCTACCAAATCCACCTCCTTTCGGGTTCAGCATCCTTACTGGCACACCTCCTCGTGTCTACCCCCTTTCGGGGAACAGCCGTCTCTTTGGACTTTCCCTTTCGGGCTTCCTCTCAAGGTTTTTAAAACATGTCCGCTAGACAAAAGGTTTCTATACTCTTATAAAGGATGTTTTGTTCTCCTCCCCAACCGATATGGAATCTCACACTTTTATACGGATTCATGCGCCGATTCTTTTCTTTCTTGGCTTCATTAGGGACAGAATAAGGATGATAAAGAGAAAAAAGAAGGAGAAGGAGAAGAAGATGAAGACGAAGAAGACGACGATGCACAGTCCGAGGAACTCACCGATGACGACTATTATCAGGTTTCAACAGGAACCGTTGGATTTTGTTATATGGTTAATCTTCATTTAAGATCTAACATCCATTTTTTGTGTTTCATGTGTACTCTAACTTCCCTAAACTTCTTAATATTCACTCTTGAAAATTTTCTCATACTAACATCATTGAGCTGCAGAACGAATATTTCGACGACGATGAAGATGATTACAACATGGAAGAGGAAGGCGGAGGTACGGTTTATATTCTAATAGAGATATTAAAATCGTACAAATTTGAACGTTGAACTATGCTAATATTGACCTTTAATAACATTAAATTATTGCAGATGAACCAGAATATTAATGACCATGGAAAGTGGTAGTAAGATTTGGTGCTTCTTTCTCCCGCTCCAAGAGAATAGTCAGATTTTTTTTTTTTTTTTTTTTTTTTTTTTTTTTTTTTTTTTTTTTTTTTTTTTTTTTTTTTTTTTTTTTTTTTTTTTTTTTTTTTTTTTTTTTTTTTTTTTTTTTTTTTTTTTTTTTTTTTTTTTTTTTTTTTTTTTTTTTTTTTTTTTTTTTTTTTTTTTTTTTTTTTTTTTTTTTTTTTTTTTTTTTTTTTTTTTTTTTTTTTTTTTTTTTTTTTTTTTTTTTTTTTTTTTTTTTTTTTTTTTTTTTTTTTTTTTTTTTTTTTTTTTTTTTTTTTTTTTTTTTTTTTTTTTTTTTTTTTTTTTTTTTTTTTGGGCTTTGAGACTTTTAAGTATTATAATTTATAAATGATTTAAATTAAGTTCAAATCATACTTATTCTTTACACAAGGAGTAAAATTCTATATAGATTAATATTTAAATTTTTTATTTTCAATAATGTTTTTGATAGTTCTTTGATTATCAAATGAGTTTCTAATTATTAATTTCATGTCTACTAACTGTTGAGACTTTAAAAAAACTCTCTTAAACACAAAATTAAATATTAAATGTTATAAGAGTTTTGAAAGTTAATGATTTTTTATAATTAAATAATATAATAAAACACACCATTTAAAGCATAAAATCTGTCTAAACTTATAATTTAAATAAAAAAAAATATTTATAGATTATTTGTTATTTTATTAAAAAAATTATTTTAGAAATTTATTAATATGACTTTACTCGCTAAATATTATTACCTTCACTAACATATTAATGATTCAAAACTCGACCCAATATTTAGACTAATGGTTAATAAATAATTCTCGCACTTTTATCATTTTTTATTTTTTTAAAGAAAAAAAAGTTGAAATTAAATAATAGTTAGCATTTTTCAATCATTTAGAACGTTTTTTTTTAAATATTTCTTCCCCTTTTTTAATTGTTTAATAAAAAATATATATATATTGTTCATTTGGTAGAATGTTAGAAGAACAATGATTTTATTGTGATTTTAAATAAAATTAAAAGAAAACAATGTTTATGGAAAATTAAAATTTTAATTAATAAAATTATTAATTTAAGATTTTAATGAATTATTTATTTATTTATTTATTTTTTCTCTTTTTGAAAATTGATAATGAATGGTGAACGTGAAAGCCACTCCTTTTGCCATAACGGCCTCGTTCAGAGCCGGGTCACAGTTCGTTTCATTCCTTATTTATTTATTTATTTTTATTATTATTCCAACTATTTATACCTCGAAGCCATACCCGCTTCGGAGACTGAAGAGAAAAAAGAACAAAGAAAAGAAAACCTGAAGGAATTTTTTTCTTGAAGCGATTCGAAATTCGAAGTTCCATTGTTGAAGGTTGAAAAATGTCGTGGCAAACGTATGTCGACGATCACCTTATGTGTGAGATTGAAGGCAACCATCTCACCTCTGCCGCTATCATCGGACACGACGGTAGTGTTTGGGCGCAGAGCGCCTCATTCCCTCAGGTGATTGTCATTTTCGATTACGTTTGTTGTTTGTGTGATTCTGTTACGTTAGCGTTCTTGTTGAGAGAGATTTGATCCGATCTGGCTCTATAACGAACGTTTTGTTTTGTTTTGTTTTGTATCGTGATTTTGAGTTTTTGTCTTGCGAGAGGTATGGAATTAGATTTAGATGGAGAGCCACCTCTGTTGTTTGATTTGATATTTTGAGCGGAGATGGAACTCGTGTGATTAATTGTTCAATTCGTATTTAGTATCAGTTGGAGTGATGCATGAAGAGGAATGTCTGATTTTTCTTCTTCTTCTTCTTCTTCTCTCGTTGGATTAAACTGATTGATCATAATCTCTTCGCTTAAGATCAGGAATTCATCGAGCGCAAGGTTCGATGTTAACGCAAGTTCGTGATTAATAATTTAGTGAAGAATTGCATTCTTTGACGTGTTCGATTTTCCTTTTATTTATTTATTTTTTCCATTGTCGTGGTAGATTTGTGCAGAGATCAATGTGATCGCTAGTTTTTGCATCGCCAAGCCGTATAATTCAATCTGGTTTAGACAACGTTATTGTTCCTTGGATCGTTTGAAAATGTTAACAATTTTATGTTTTAAGTTTAATCTTCCTTCTAGTTTACATCTTCGTATTGGATTTTGTTTCTATTTGATTCAGTATTTGAGAATACAAGCCTATCAAGGATGAAAAAGTAAGCAAGGAACACTTTCAAATTTAAGAACCATATGAACACTATTCTAGAACAAGGACCATTTTCCTCTTGATTATAACATTCAGGAAACATTAAAGTCTGCCATTAATAATTTAATTTGTTTGGGAATTACTTAATGCAGTTTAAGCCGGAGGAGATTTCAGCGATTATGAAGGATTTTGATGAGCCTGGTTCTCTTGCCCCAACTGGTTTACACCTTGGTGGCACCAAGTACATGGTTATCCAGGGAGAGCCAGGAGCTGTTGTTCGTGGGAAAAAGGTCGGTTTTCTGCTGCCTTAAACCGAAACTAAAACAAAACGAAAACCCAATTACAAATAAATATTTCCTCTTCATTTCACTGTTGATCCAACATGACTTGAGGGATCGAGTACCATCTTGTTTATGTTTACTGAATGCGTGTGGGTTAATTTGGTTGTTGAATAGGGCGCTGGCGGAGTTACTGTGAAGAAAACTGAGAAAGCCATGATTGTTGGAATCTATGATGAACCTGTAACTCCAGGACAATGCAATATGGTTGTTGAAAGGTTGGGAGATTACCTGATCGAACAGGGTTTGTAAGCCATGTCTCCTCCTCCTCCTCCTCCTCTGTTTTACCAATACACATTTTGGTTGCTTTCTTCCATTCCATCTCTCATTTCATATTATTAATCTCGCGAGCTATGTGCTTCGTTCAATATCCATGAGTTTCCTTACCAGTTTCTGTAGTTTCTCAATATTATGAGTTATCTCAAGTACTCCTTTAAAGGAAAGAATAATTCATGTTCAGATCATTTGGTTCTTTCGTCTACATATTTTTTTGTTCATGCCCCATTAAATTTGATGTAACCCACTCTCTTAGCTTAAAGTATCTAGTGACTTCTAAACTCAAGCCTGATTAGATATAAATTTAAACTTGATCCTTAAAGTATTTAGTTAAACTCTTGATTTAGTATCTAATAAACCTGATTAGATATAAATTTAAATATTTTGTAACGTTCGGAGGAAGAGGAATCTACTCCTACTCGATCGCAGTGTTTAATCGACAACCAAAGGCATTTGTGGTTGAGAGTGGTATATCAGAATTCAAGCTGGGGGAATGGTCTAGGAATTGAAGCCGAGGGAATAATTTAGATTCCCTTTTGGAATAAGCAAGTGAATAAAAAACAAGTTTTAAAAAAGAAATACAAAAGAAAATTTGGCCTCTTACCCTTTTCAAAAACTTTTCAGGGCTCCAAAACATTCTCTCTCTCACCAATTCAAATTCCTACCATATTATTTATCTTCTCATTTCAACTTTGTATATAAAAAAAAAAAAAAATCTTTGTTTTCGTGCTTAAGAGGTTCTTGAGTTGTAATAATCTTTACATTATTATTTTGAACCTCTAACAATAATACAAGTTTGTTCATATCTTTGTGTTGATTTCATTAAATAAATTTTATGCACGTTGATATTGTTATTCTTTCTCGTTCTTTTGCAGTTATTTCTTCTCATCTTTATATACTTTTTTACGTGTATAAAGTTTTATTTTATTAATATTTACGTTTTTGTACACAAATTAAAGTAAGTAGGTGACCCACTCAAATATGGTCTACACAAATCTATATATCATTCATATGCCCCAATTCCTATCCCACCTTAAATGCCATACATTACATTTTAATGCTTTCTTTTTCACTCATAAAATTATTTTGAGAGTGAATATTTTCAATCTCCCTTACAACCCATGACTCGAATTTGAATATTTTTTATCTTATCTTATCCTCCTAACATGTGGCAAATCTACTCCTTTGTATATTTAAATTCATAATGTTCATTGACTCCGCATATCGTAAAGATTCCTAAAAAGTTATAAAGAAATACAACGCATGTCGATTTCTAGATTCAAGGTAAACACAACCCATGTCGATTTCAAAGCAAATTCGTTCTCCTTCGTGTTCTTCGACCTCGAACATTTTTGCTATCAACATTTCTCGTGATTTCAAATTTCAAAAATAAAAAAAGAGAAAAAAAATCTAATACTGATGGCATGCCATTGTGGGCTGCTCTGCTCTTCTCTGCTCAGCCATGCCGAGGGATGGGCCTTAATGCTGATGAATTGAGTGCCTAATTACAACAGAGAGAATGGGTTATAATTACAATAATAATTACTTGTGTGCCCCACTTTTCTTGAACTAATCACTTCTAAATCACACCAAAATCTGTATTTGTTTACAATTCAAATTCACTAATCCAAACAAAAAAAATCCAATCTTTAGTGGTTGGCACATGCCGCCCTAAAAAATACAAACCCCGAGGCCTAATCTTATATATTACATTATTAGATAATGAATTTTTGTTATTCACTCACCTATTATAGCCGTTATACCCTTCCGATTCTAGGAGTATTCAAAAAAATTTGATGATCCGAAAAAATCGATCAAACAAATTAAATCCGTACCGATTGAATTTAAATAAATGAAAAAATTGATGTATCAAGTTGATTCATGGGTTCCTTTATTTTCTTTGATCAAGGTAATTTATCCAATTGTAAAATTAGAAATTTACAAATATTAAATAAATATTTTACAGCATAACATTTTGACTACAAATAAAAATTTGAATAAATACTGCCAATGAATCACATCGATGTAATGAAGGTGAGGGACCTACAACAATCACAAAACGTCTTGAATCAAGCAGAGTTTCTCGAAATCTTCCCTCTTTGCCTACAATTACATTGAAAAATAACTTGTAAACCTTATTATGGTCATCTCTCATTGGTTGTCTACAGATTCCATCTCGAACAAGTGGATTGAATCTAAAAAGTATATATTAAAAAAGTGTACATCCCGAACAATTGGATTGAATCTA